ATATCCACCCTTTGATCTCTCAAGCGATAAGAAATCAATACACAGAAGTTCCATTGGAGCAGTGGACTGAATTGGAAACAGTTGTGCTTTGTCTGGTAACTTCTTCCGACACTGACAGCGCTTACATGACCTCACCTTCTCTGCGATGTAGCTATCAAGACCAGGCCAGTAAAAACGTTCTTTAACCAAAGACATCGTGCGGTCCCTGCCTTGGTGACCCATATCATCGTGAAGGGCACTGAAAATATTCTCACGAAGAGAAGCTGGAAGTACCAATTGTCTCCTATCCATACCATTCACGGAGGCTGTTCGATACAACACCCCATCAGCCAACATTAACTTTCCCCAATCTCGTAAAAATGGTTTGAACTGACCCGACGAAGTCGATGGTCTGGTTCCCGAACGGAGATGGTGAATCACTATTGAGATGATCGAATCATCAGATTGGGCCTTAATCCAATCCTTGTTTGAAAGACTAACAGACAGTAAAAGCTGTTCTGGAACATCTTCTGAAACAGATAGTGTGTTGGTGTCTGGCGTAACCAAAGTCTCATGGAGTGGTATATCAAGTTCTACATTCGTTGAAATGGCATGGATGACAGAGTTTGTTATCCGACTTAGACCATCAGCATCTATGTTGCTTTTGCCACTACGGTAAGTTATGGTGAAATCATAATTAGCGAGAGCAGCTACCCAACGCTGACCGGTGGCATCGAGTTTTGCAGTGGTGTTCACATATAAAAGAGGGTTATTATCCGTCACGACCTCGAATCTCCCACCATACAAGTAATCGTGGAACTTATCACATATAGCCCACTTCATGGCGAGAAATTCGAGGCGATGGGCCGGATAATTCCTCTCCGGTCGAGAAAGACTTCTGCTCGCAAATGCAACCACGCGATCCTTGCCATCATCTTGTTTCTGGTAAAGAACGGCGCCAAGACCAGTACTGGACGCATCAGTGTGAACACGAAATGGTTTTGTGTAATCAGCATATGCCAGTACTGGTGGGCTTGCAAGTCTGTTTCTCAGGTCATCAAAGGCATCTTGTTGATTCTGTTCCCATTTGAACACTGGTTTTGGTGTTTTCTTCAATTTCTGGGACGACTTCTTGGTAGAAACGCCAACAAGAAGATCATTAAGGGGCCTAGCGACGGAAGCAAAACCCTTAATGAATCGCCGATAGTAACCGGCGAACCCAAGAAATTTACGCAGATCTTTAATATTCTTTGGGACAGGCCAGTCCTTTACCGCCTCAGTCTTTTCTGGATCCGCGTGAATTCCTTCCGCAGAGACAACATGTCCTAGATAGGTAGTCTTCGTCTCGAAAAACTCACACTTCGACGGTTTGATCTTAAGATTGTACTCTGCTAGTCTCCGGAATACAGCATCAAGGCGTTCAATGTGAGACTCTATATCGCTTGAAAATATGATTACGTCATCCAAGTAGATAAGACAATCTCTCAGGTTGAGGTCACCCATGCAACGCTCCATCAATCTTTGAAATGTTGCTGGAGCATTGCATAGGCCGAATGGCATCCGGTTGCATTCGTAAAAGCCCAGACCTCCAACCTGAAAGGCAGTCTTCTCTTTATCTTCTTCTTGGAGTTCTACCTGCCAATAACCAGATTTTAAGTCAAGTTTCGAAAAGAATCGGGAACCAGAGAGAAGATGTAGAGTATCTTCTACCTTCGGAATACCATAGGCATCCTTCTTTGTTCGTTGATTCAAGCGTCTGAAGTCGATACAGAATCTGATGGTTCCGTCTTTCTTTCGAACTATCACAACGTTCGAGGACCAAGGACTTTTAGACTCACGAATAGCACCTATCTGTAGCATATCCTGTAGATGTTCTTTAACTTCTGCCAATAAATGTGGTGGTACTCTACGGTATGGCTCTTTAAATGGTGTGTCATTCAGAAGTTCTATTCTATGTCTGACTGCATCAGTATTTCCAAGATCTAAAGACGTTTTCGGAAATATCTGATTCCATTTCTTAAAGAGATTATAAACTTTTGCCTTGTTATCAGGTGTCAAAAGGTCTTCATTGATCTTCACTCCAAATTCTTCTTTTATGTTGTGAGTGGTATGATTTTCATCTTGAAAGACACAGGTTTCATCTTCCTGTTTTATGTCTTGTTGATTTACAGGAACGTCAAAAAGAGGAGCATCTCGAAGAACCCTAACTTCCTCCAAATTACAGAGATTTGCTTTCTCGGGAATAGTCAAAACTTTTGATGATATATTCCATATCCTCACAGGTATTCTCGCTGTCCTGCCAGCATTAGAGAGGGATACTATTCGTGGACACACGTTGAATGTAGAAAGATTATCCGGTGTGACAGTAACAGCTGACTCTGTAGACAGACCTGTCTTTCGAACTAATCCGATGACCGTTCTTTTCTCCAAAGGATGGAGGATTACCTTCTTTGTGGTCTTCACCATTCCAATACTTGGACTAGTTAACGAGTCAAAGGCTGTCTTCCACACGTCTGGTATCTCATCGTTCTTGCTTTGACGATTTCTGCATTCACGTATAGCATTTGTACCTATTATCATTGGCACCTGCTCATTGTAGTCAGTATCTGCAACAACCAGTATGGGTATGCTCACTGTTTCCTTCATAGTTGGCAGTCGAAGAGACGCTTCAATATACCCAATAAATGGGATAGACTGTCCATTTGCTCCTGTAAGTTTTAGATTGAAATCCGTCATTGGATACAACTCTGGCTGGGGATCCATCTTCTTATGATAATTCGCAGCCACAGTGGTAACCATTGACCCTGTGTCTATCAAAGCCTTGATCACTTTTCCGTTCAATATCACTTCTCCCTCACTAGCTTCGCCTATCATCCTCTTACTTAAAATCTGTTCTGTAGGGCCTTCTACTTTTTCTTCGCTTCCACCAAGCCCTGCGATGGAAGCGTTTCCGTGTTTAAAGTCTCTTTTGGGGTTGTGGTGTTGTTCGTTGAAATCTCTCTTCGACGATAATCAAAGTTTCCACCACGCCGGTTACTAAAACTACCTCTATATGGTCGTCTTTCTCTCCTAAATCCACCACTATCATATCTACTACTGACTGTGCGCTTTTCCTCTTTTATTCTACTCATTTCTGTTTCTAACGACTTCATTCTTTCTAACAACTCTTTTAACACATCTGCTTGTTGTTGTGATGACACTGCAACTTTGGTCTCTATTCCAACTTTACATTCCTCCTCTTCCATTCTAACTTTTCTTCGTAAGGTTTCAAAACTATCTAAAGACTCATAAGAAACTCGACTCGCTGACTTAAGCTTTTCCGATTTGAGACCTCTCCAAAATCTCTCTTTCAACTTCGTGTCCCGTTTCCTATCATCCATTTCCCCCTCATCTACTGCACGTTGAAATAAGGTTTCTACTCTTACGGCCCATGCCGAACAATGTTCATTTTCCTTCTGTGTGGCCGAGTAAAAGTCTTGGGCAATTCTATCGCTCGTCTTCACATTACCATAAATCTGTCCAAGTTTCTGAACAATCTCTTTGGTGTCAGCAGAAGGTTTCAAAGTCAAAAGTATCTGCCTTGTATCTCCTTTAAGAGAATTCCTAACGGCCTGCACCATAGCGTATTCGGGATATATTCCTGTTTCTTGTAAGCAGTTCACTTCCACTTTCCATTGCTCGAAGTGACTTCCATCAAAATTCGGAATCTTGGGTAGGCCTAATTTAAAAAACGGATATTCCTTCGAAGTTTTTGTGGCATCATCTTCTCTCGTTTCAGTCATTCGATCTCTTAGGATTCTCTCTTTCTCTCTTAACAAATCAAGTTTCTGTTTCATCGCTTGTTCTTCACGCATACGCTTAACCATTTCTTTCTCTATCCTATCATTTTCATTTCTCTGTCTATTTAGCTCCAACTCCTGATCTTCAAGAAATTTTATTCTTTCCTGTAGTTCTATTTCAGCCTTTCTCTTCATGTCTAATTCATACTGTAACTTTCTGTCTCTCTGTAATATCATCTGTCTTTTCTTTTCTTCCTCAAGCTGTAACTTTCTCATCTTTACACTTTCTCTTTCATAGCGACTTGATTCACTCATTATATCATCTCTATCTGCTTTTAATCTTAGTAGGTCTGCCTCTTTAATTCTTTCACTTTTCATTCCAGTAATTTGCTTGCCATCACTATTAACAACAGTACTATGCATTTTATTCCCTTCACTTATTCTACCTCCTCTGTTTGAATAGGAATTGTCCCTAATTCCGCCTTCATTTCCATTATCCGTTATTGAATATCCAAATCTGTTAAATTTACTCTTAGTTGTAATAAATTGCTCCATTTCATCAACACATGTGTCACCAGTGTCCCGTTTTAACTCTTTCAAAGTCAAGTCCAACCTTTTCATGTGTTCATCAAGGAATTTTAAACTATGACTACTTGACAATGATAACTCTTTCCTTTTAGTTTCTGACCTATCGACTTCCGCGATTTGAGCCATATCTTGTATATCCTTTGAAGTACTTTCATGTAAAAATTCGTCAATAGTATTCAAATCCGACAATTCACTATTCCTTTCAAACTCCTCTAAATCATGCTTAGATCCAACTGTATCCAATTCTAACTGACGACGATCCTCTTGAATTCTCATTAACTCGCGTTGAATGCGTTCATTCTCTCTTAATTGTTCATCTTCCTTGAGCTGTATATCTCTTACTCTTTCCCTTCGCATAAGACGTATTTCTCTTTCACTCAGTGGTCCGTGTGCCATTATTGCATAAATTATTTTAATTATTTCACTGATTTCACTTTCAAAATATAATTGTCAAGATAAACAATGTATCACTTTGTGCGAAGACTATTATAAAGCTCACAATTTAGTAATTGTTACACAGTGACACTAAGCAATTGTAGATTGCTATAAACACTACGTTTATCACTATAGTTGTTGGTGTAGTTTAGATGAAATTCAAGAAACAACACATATAATGTAACACAACACTCGTTCTACATAATATAATACAACTTTTATTACAACAAAGAAGGCAAATATTATTGTTATTATTTATTTGCAATTCAACGGCTACATATAAGAACAACAATAAAATTAATCTTTACTTTTTTCCAGGAAAATTCAGAATTTATAGTGACCTTCGTTTTTTTTTATATATAATGGCACTAAATGTACACCATAGGGGAAAAAAAACAAACAACAGTTTTACATTTTAATTACTAAGTGACTGCTTATACCGTATGACTGGGCAATAATTTATTATTTCAAATGCTCAATCCACTCAGGCAACGCATATACTGTAGAAAAATATCCTAGAGTATCATTTTATAGAAATATCCTTACTTGGACTTCGTACTCTAGACCATGAAATTTAGCAGACTAACAGACTTTATTAAATACCAAACTGCAAGCTATATGCAAATTCAATATACCCGTTTTACATCCTTCTATATTTCTTCAAAATGCACGACTATATAATCATTGGTTATAGTATTGTAAAGTATTTACAGGTATGACGTATCCTGTAAATTTTTACAAAAATTCACGATGACAAAGAAAAAAAATCGCGAATGCTTTTGATAACGCAACGTACGATACCTTGCAAGGTTTTCTTATATAACTTAGATGCTATATTTAGATAATAAAAATCTAAATATAACTCTATGTTAGTATAATAAATGTAACAAATAATTATTTTTGCAAATGTACGTTGCAAAAATAATAGAAAAAAAAATATGTTCCCAAAAAAAAAACACAGTCAAGAACTCGTCTCGAACCACTGGCCAATACACCACGCTACCTTATAAGTCCGTAGCGTTAACCACTACGCCACACAAGACAATGGATTTAATAGGTGATACATCTTGTAGTGTATACAATCACAAAGGAGTCGGGTTACGAAAAAAAGATGTTAGTGTAAAATTTAATCAGTGCATTTTATAAGTGCAAATCTTTGTATCCCTAGTACATAACTTATAATCTATCACATAAATTAAAAAAAAAACCAGTAATAATTCTTTCAATTAGTCTAGTCAATTTAAATGTAAATCTAACCTGAGAAAACAAAAATTTAAAGATCTGACACAAATTTATAAAGATAGACAAACAAGCCTATGTAAACAAAAATTTAGTTTGCAAAATGTAATATCAAAAAGTATAGCAAAAATGATCTATCTCAATAGATAAAATAAAGTCTTACCGGCTAAATTCTAAATTAATATCCAAAACTAAAATAATCCATCCTATTTACACAATAAACAAACACAAAATAATCACTGCACACTAAGTGAGAGTGTCAGTTCAATCAAATTCCAGAAAATGAATGAGTCTGTGTCCGTGGTGCTATCTACGTTGGAAGATGTGGTCCAGTAATGTTGAGGCTAGCCTAGATAAAGGGTACAATGTGGATCCACTACTCCGGAGTATAATGTCAATATGATGGGCCCTAAAACGTGGTTGCACGCACGTGGCTATATTTACAATCCGTATTACGGAAGCGAAGAATGGATACAATATCCAATCAAATTGAATGACGTCAGAATGACCAGCCGAAATAACACAGGTAAAATCCAATGAAATGATAGCATTCAAGCGGGAAACTGAATACGCATGACATATGCAAATGCCGCACTGCTATTGTCCAATCACAACGACTGATTCAGTATGACGTATCCGTATATGAATAAATATGAATACAATGGATAATCCAATTCAACACAGGTAAGTAATCCAGTGTGTATACATGTATTCAAGTATGATATCGTGTATAACGTAAACAATGTCTTCTCTACACATGCTTGTCACCCTGAAGGTTGTGTAAACAAACGGTCACAAATCGAACGTTGGGCGCCAATGTCGACGTTTTTTTTCCCTATGGTGTACATTTAGTGCCATTATATATAAAAAAAAACGAAGGTCACTTATAAATTCTGAATTTTCCTGGAAAAATAGTAAAGATTAATTTTATTGTTTGTCTTATAATGTAGCCGTTGAAATGCCAAATAAATAATAACAATAATATTTGCCTTCTTGTTGTTGTAATAAAAGTTTGTATTATATTATGTAGAACGAGTGTTGTGTTACATTATATGTGTTTCGTGTACACCAACAAACTATAGTGATAAACGTAAGTGTTTATAGCAATCTACAATTGCTTAGTGTCACTGTGTAACAATTACTAAATTGTGAGCTTTACTAATAGTCTTCGCACAAAGTGATACATTGTTTTATCTTGACAATTATATTTTGAAAGTGAAATCAGTGAAATCATTAAAATATTTATGCAATAATGGCACACGGACCACTGAGTGAAAGACGAAATACGTCTTTGCGAAGGAAAGAGTAAGAGATATACAGCTTCAAGGAAGATGAATCAATTAAGAAGAGAATGAACGCATTCAACGCGAGTTAATGAGAATTCAAGAGGATCCGTCGTCAGTCAGAATTGGATACAGTTGGATCTAAGCATGATTTAGAGGAGTTTGAAAGGAAATAGTGAATTGTCGACTTTGAATACTATTGACGAATTTTTACATGAAGTACTTCAAAGGATATACAACCGATATGGCTCAAATCGCGGAAGTCGATAGGTCCGAAACTAAAAGGAAAGAGTTTATCATTGTCAAGTAGTCATAGTTTAAAATTCCTTGATGAACACATGAAAAGGTTGGACTTGACTTTGAAAAGAAGTTAAAACGGGACACTGGTGACACATGTGTTGATGAAATGGAGCAATTTATTACAACTAAGAGTAAATTTAACAGATTTGGATATTCAATAACGGATAATAAAGGCGGAATTAGGGACAATTCACCTATTCAACAGAGGAGGTAGAATAAGTGAAGGGAATAAAATGCATAGTACTGTTGTTAATAGTGATCGGCAAGCAAATTACTGGAATGAAAAGTGAAAGAATTAAAGAAAGGCAGACCTACTAAGATTAAAAGCAGATAGAGATGATATAATGAGTGAATCAAGTCGCTAGTATGAAAGAGAAAGTGTAAAGATGAGAAAGTTACGGCTTGACGGAAGAAAAGGAAAGACAGATGATATTACAGAGAGACAGAAAGTTACAGTATGAATTAGACATGAAGAGAAAGGCTGAAATAGAACTACAGGAAAGAATAAAAATTTCTTGAAGATCAGGAGTTGGAGCTAAATAGACAGAGAAATGAAAATGATAGGATAGAGAAAGAAATGGTTAAGCGTATGCGTGAAGAACAAGCGATGAAACAGAAACTTGATTTTTTAAGAGAGAAAAGAGAGAATCCTAAGAGATCGAATGACTGAAACGAGAGAAGATGATGCCACAAAAACTTCGAAGGAATATCCGTTTTTTTTAAATTTAGGCCTACCCAAGATTCCGAATTTTGATGGAAGTCACTTCGAGCAAAATGGAAAATGGAACTTTGAACTGCTTACAAGAAACAGGAATATATCCCGAATACGCTATGGTGCAGGCCGTTAGGAATTCTCTTAAAGGAGATACAAGGCAGATACTTTTTTGACTTTGAAACCTTCTGCTGACACCAAAGAGATTGTTCAAAAACTTGGACAGATTTATGGTAATTTGTGAAGACGAGCGATAGAATTGCCCAAGACTTTTACTCGGCCACACAGAAGGAAATGAACATTGTTCGGCATGGGCCGTAAGAGTAGAAACCTTATTCAACGTGCAGTAGATGAGGGGGAAATGGATGATAGGAAACGGGACACGAAGTTGAAAGAGAGATTTTGGAGAGGTTCAAATCGGAAAAGCTTAAGTCAGCGAGTCGAGTTTCTTATGAGTCTTTAGATAGTTTTGAAACCTTACGAAGAAAAGTTAGAATGGAAGAGGAGGAATGTAAAAGTTGGAATAGAGACCAAAGTTGCAGTGTCATCACAACAACAAGCAGATGTGTTAAAAGAGTTGTTAGAAAGAATGAAGTCGTTAGAAACAGAAATGAGTAGAATAAAAGAGAAAAGCGCACAGTCAGTAGTAGATATGATAGTGGTGGATTTAGGAGAGAAAGACGACCATATAGAGGTAGTTTTAGTAACCGGCGTGGTGGAAACTTTGATTATCGTCGAAGAGAGATTTCAACGAACAACACCACAACCCAAAAGAGACTTTAAACACGGAAACGCTTCCATCGCAGGGCTTGGTGGAAGCGAAGAAAAAGTAGAAGGCCCACAGAACAGATTTTAAGTAAGAGGATGATAGGCGAAGCTAGTGAGGGAGAAGTGTATTGAACGGAAAAGTGATCAAGGCTTTGATAGACACAGGGTCAATGGTTACCACTGTGGCTGCGAATTATCAAAGAAGATGGATCCCCAGCAGAGTTGTATCCAATGACGGATTTCAATCTAAAACTTACAGGAGCAAATGGACAGTCTATCCCATTTATTGGGTATTATTGAAGCGTCTCCTTCGACTGCCAACTATGAAGGAAACAGTGAGCATACCATACTGGTTGTTGCAGATACTGACTACAAATGAGCAGGTGCCAATGATAATAGGTACAAATGCTATACGTGAATGTAGAAATCGTCAAAGCAAAAACGATGAGATACCAGACGTGTGGAAGACAGCCTTTGACTCGTTAACTAGTCCAAGTATTGGAAATGGTGAAGACCACATAAGAAGGTAATCCTCCATCCTTTTGGAGAAAACAACGGTCATCGGATTAGTTCGAAAGACAGGTCTGTCTACAGAGTCCAGCTGTTACTGTCACACCGGATAATCTTTCTACATTCAACGTGTGTCCACGAATAGTAAT